TTATGAGTATTGGGGCCCCTGGAGTTGCGAGCAATGAGTATATGTGGAGGATTCATGGCTCAGTCCGGAGAATCAGTAGGCTATGAACCCGGAGTTTCGTCGTACTCCCTGAGATGTGGGCGGAAGAGGACATGGTGGCCATAATGAAAATATTGAGCGGTGGCGCTATAGTGTAGTGGTTATCACTTGGGATTCTGACTTCAGTGTTCCCAAAACCCAGGTTCGAGCCCTGGTAGCGCCTTGCGCTTGTCTTCCTGTGACCTTCATTTTGTCCTGGCTACGTTTACAAGACGCTACCGTTCTCCCATCCTCATCGTTCTCGCCTCATCTAGCTGTTCTTGAACTGTCGCACTATCGGCTGATGCGCTCATTGCGTCTTAGAGACCATGTTTCAAACTTTTGGAGGGAGGGGGTTCATTGGTCGAGACTTGTCTTCTGGCCTTCTGCCTCAGTACAGGCTCCAGGCCGAGATTTTGACTTCCATTGAGCTGAGCAAATTCGCCTTTATGATTGAGTAAGACTCTTGCACGCAAGACTCCATACTAGTAGCTGTCAAACACCAACAGTACTGGCACGTGGTATACGATATCAAGACCGCTGGCAGTCAGACTGAAAACCACTATGGCATCTGTGAGTTCACCGCTTCCACGACGTACTGACACTGACAGACAAGCCTTCAATTGCTCGACAACTGCATTCATCGGGTCGACATAACATTTCAACGGACCAATGGCCTCTCGTGAGCCTGAATTATGCGGAGCATGGATCTCCGGGCCTCAAAATGCCGCCCTGTCTCTCGGCATTTCGAAGCGATGCTGTTACTTTCCGTCGCAAAGAAAATGTCATCACAGCCCCGCCGGTGTCTGATCAACGACAGAGAGCGGGCTAGCCAACAACTCATAACGTGTCTTGAGAGCGACGCTCAACAAGTTTCCGACCCCCTCTGCTGTCGAAGGGTAGTCCACTGTTTCTCGCTCTCTTTTCTTTGCATTCGCTATCTTAGTCCCTGGTGGGCATGTTGTCATTCTTTTCTCCCGCTTCGTGCGCTTTCATCTTGTTGGCGCTGTCGCGCTATGTTCTCTCTGCGCCCATAGCTTCGTCGGGAACAGGAGCGGATACTCAAAATCAAACCTCACCTTCTCCTGCCTTCGTAATATATACAAACAAATTCGTCTCTTCGAGCGTGCTCCCACCAGTGAACGAGCTCAAGGTAAATGAAGTCTGTCGCCCATGAATGCGGTATTATATTGACGTTTCTTGCCAACCTCTAGGGGTATAATGTTGTGTGGGTTATGAGTGTACCCTCAGATATGTCTCCCTTTGACTCACATCACCAGAGCGCTTTCATTCCTCCTCCTCAAGGGACCGTTCGATCAAGCTGCTGCATGGGCTGCCTTGCCCGATGCACAACGAGCTGCTACAAAGACGGAGTATGCCAACGCAGGCATCCGCCTCATCGTGTCCGCGTTCGGTGACTCAGAGGAGCCAACCACCAGCAAGTCGGACCCCCTCGCCACGGCGAACTCCATGGCTCAGTTTGTACTCTCTAGCGGGCTGGACGGCATCGATGTCGACTACGAGGTACAACCTAGTACAAGCGTTGAATGTAGTTCCCGGGCTAATTTGTACGATATTTGGCAGGACTTGGATGCGATGAACAAGGGTGATGGCGTTGCCGAGGCTTGGCTCGTCACCTTCACTCAGACACTCCGTCAACATTTGCCCAAGGGGCAGTTCATTCTGAGTCATGCTCGTACGTAGCTGTTCCCATGTCTGCTTCGGATCCTTCTCATCACTATGGCCTTCTTTGTGATGCAGCTATCGCGCCATGGTTCTCGCTGAACTCCGTGTTCCTCAAAAGTGGCGCATATAGGACCGTCAACAAACAAGTCGGCCACCTGATTGATTGGGTGTGTCTTCACTGCAATGAAGCTTTTATCGTGCTACTGACATAATGTTGGTTCCAGTACAACATCCAGGTAATGACCGGTTCACGATTTTCTTCATCCTAACGTACCGACTTACCACTGTACCCCACCCATAGTACTACAACCGTAAGGTTCTCTTATCTTGCAATTCCTCACACTGACCCCAGCTGTTCTCCAGAGGGTGCGAACGAGTACACAGACTGCACCAGCATCGTCTCCAGTTCGGGAACTCAATTCCCCCAGTCATCCATTCTTGAGCTTGCAGCGGGAGGCATTCCCGCTAGCAAGCTCGTCATTGGAAAATTCGCCACTGTTTCCAATACAACGACGGGATTCATGGACCCGAAGACCCTGGGGGAATGCGTCTCGTCCGCTGAGCAGCAGGGGTGGAGTGAGTTCCTGCACAGAGCCTCCCCCATGTCAATATACTGAACCTAGTCCATCTATAATCCTTCAGGCGCGGGCATAATGGCTTTCGAGGTTCGTGACCCTCTTCTTATCTTACGATGGCTGTCGATCTGATATGGTGCCTCCTATACAGTATCCCGACGCGGACGCTAGCTGGATTGCGGCCGCGCGGGGTTCGGCATTCCCGATTATCTCTTGAAGACCGTCTCTGCATACTCTATGCAAGTCAATCGTGTTATTTACCGGCAACGGTACTCCAGACCAAGGCGAGCCAAGAGCGTGATCGCATGCGTTAAGAGAGAGTGGATGCATGATGCCGGACTATCGAAGCTAAGCGAGACGAACGAAGTGAAACGGAGTATATCGTACAACAGCATAAAGCATGATGAAATCGTGTGCTAGCATAGATCATCACATCACATAATCTCGTCCAAAGTCATGTCGCCGCTCGCTGGCAGCTCAGGTAGACTGGGCAGCCTCGAGGCAGATGTTGACGATCGTGTCGCAGATGACCTTTGTGTCTGGTCTGAACCCCGTGAAGTAGACATAGACGACGCGGTGTCAGGCTCCAAAGTCGCTGCGACTGGCCGAGTGACCCTCGTGATGTACGTGCGAGGCTTGACCTCTTGGGGTACGGCGACAGACTTGTACAGCTCCAGCTCAGCGCGGAGGTCATCGTTGTCCGCGTAGGCGGCATCTCGGTCGCGTGTTGATAGCAGCAATTTCTGCCACGCGCTTCAGTGCTGTCGCATTGCAAGAGGCAAGGGGGAGAACGTACATGTTTCATCTCGTGCAACTCGCGCCGAATGCGGTCGACGTACATGATGCGCTGAGCAGGATTATTATGTCCTATAATTTCTGCGTTGAACTTGCTAAGGCGTTGCGCTTCTTCCTCCGCTAGGGCGTTCTTCACAACGAGCTGGTCGACTTCTGCGAGCATGTTGTTGTACGCTTCCTGATATCTCTCGGCTTCAGCGAGGTCAGAGCTCAATCTGGGGCAAGGAAATACAGGGCATTAGGAAGAATGCGAGTGAAGCAGGTGTAAGGCTTACTGTTCGACTTCGGAGCGCAGGAACTGTTCGGCCTGCTTCGCCTGGTGGAGCGACGCAGCCAACCGCTGGCTCGCCTGCTTCTCCTGCTGTAAGCCTTGCTCGGCCCGAGCAACGTCGGCCTGCGCCTCCGCCTTGATAGTCTCTAACTGCTTTTTGTACGACTCTACGCGAGCGTTTGACTCGGCGAGGGACGCGGCGGAGTCGGCGAGCATGCGCTGGGCATCGGCATGTTCGGCCTGTGTTTGCTGGAGAGACTCAGCTAGCTGTGCGCGGATGGCCTCAGCTTCTGCAAGCTGCTTCGCACGCTGGTCGAGTTCCGCACGAGTGGCATCTGATTCCTGGTTGAGAACGGACGCGTGGAACAACAATGCGTTCGTGCGTTCACGGTCGAGAGAGCTCCATAACTCGAAGTCCCCGCGCGCTGCGTCGAGAGCACTGAGGGTAGACACGTATCGATCTTCAGCAACAGCCCAGGCACTGTCCTCGAGCTCGCACAGTCCGTTGGAAACTACAGTGGCCATGCTATACGCATCCCGAAGAGCCCGGCGGTAGGTGGTGAGTTCGTCATGGGTCTCCTGGAGCTGGGAAGTTAGGAAGGAGTTCTCCTCCTTGACTTGCCGAATCAAATTCGCGAGCTCGATGACTTGGCCATCGCTGTTCGCGAGCTTGCGCTCCAGCTTGTTATTCCGCAGCTCGAGCAGCACAACTTCCTGCTTGGCACGCCGGTGTGTCGAGAGCGCAATGGTGGTGGACGCGAGCTTGCCATACTCCTGCGCGACGCGAGATAGAGCGTACCGGTGTTGCTCAAGCTGAGCGACGAGTTCCTCCTCCGCATCCTCCGCGTGTGACTCGACCTGTAGTAGCGCATCGCGCGCCGTTTGCGCCTCCTTTTGCGCCTCCCGTAGCTGACGTGTGGTGTCCTCGGCCGCAGCTCGTGCCTCCTGCACTCGCTCATCCGCCTTTGCCTTCGCCTCCGCCAACCGTGCCTCTATCGCCTCCCGCTTCTTCTTCTCCGTCGTCAGCGCCTTCTCCAGCTCAGCGATCTTGCGTTCGCGCTCCTTCAGCTCGTCCTTCCTCTTCGCTTCCGCTTTGCGCGCCTCCGCCGCATCCCCCTGCTTCGCCGCGAGTTGCGTGCGCTCGTGTTCGCTCGCGCGGAGCTTGACGCGGAGGTCGCGCAATTCCGTTGTGTCGTTGGCGTTCGCCTTCTTCAGCTCTTGAACGCGCGCGTCGAGGGTATCGTTCTGTTTCTTGAGTTTGTCTGCGCGCTCTGTCTGTTCGGCTGCGGTTCGCTGTGCGCGGCTGAGCTCAAGTTTGAGGCGTTCCTGCTCGAGGTAGTGCTGGATCTGGTTCGGTACTGAGTGCGCTGTCAGAGGATGCACGCGTACTCACAGACTTCTTCTCTTCCTGGTGCACTCTCTCCAGGTCTTCTAGCTTACGTTGAAGGACCGCTAGCCTGTCCGTTGTAGTGGGGTTTGCAGTCCGCGTCGGAGGTCTGTTCTGAGCATTCGCCATGTCCGTCTCGTACGCGCCAGGACCTGGGCAACTCTCAGATTGGATGGTATAAGAATGTCGCTCTGGAGTTCCCACCTGGTATGTCGTCGGGCTTGTCCTTGTTGAAACGGTTCGTCTTCTCCAGGAATGCCCCTCTCTTGTACGTGTCGTATTCGGGATCTATGCAACGTCAGTAATGTAATAAGACGCGTTCCGACCGTCTTCACCTTGCGGATTGTACGCTCCGGGACCGGGTACGTCGGAACCTATCCGTACGTTTCTGTTCAATTCTTGAGAGGAATACGAGGAGAGTCTAGCTGACCTTTAGCGGGAGGAAATCTTGACCCTCTGGAAAACATGTTATCGCCGTTAATTTTCGTGAGTATCGTTTGAGCAGCCTAAACTGCGTCGCGTCAGGGTGTCTGGACGATGTTCAAGTCGACTGTAAACACAACCACACACTCGCGTCGCGTAGCGCGTCTCGGCACGCCCATGTGACCGGGTGGCGTGGATTGCAGCAAGCGCGCGTCATCAAATTGTCTGAAGCCTCTCGTTGCGCCGTCGCATCAAATGCAATCTTAGGCTGGCACTCGTTTCACCACGTTCCGAACATGTAATGTGTGCCTCATTGTAATTCATAAGGTCCTCATAAACATGATGATCGACAAACACATTACTACGGACATTTGCCGCGCACATGCTGTACTAAACAAGGACAGGCACGAGATAGACACTGCTGAGAAACCTGCTCAAATCGAAGCAAGGAACATATGCAACACCGCTTCCTCCGCATGCGTCTCCAGGACGACGGCTGCGCAAACAAATCCATCCACACAGAGGGCGCGCCACACGGCTTCGAGTCCTCATGCAAGTACATGTGTTCGCCGAGCTTGGGGCTTAAAATTCTATGTCTGTATTACATGCCATGCGGGAAGCACGGGCATAAAAAGTCAGCAAGCGCTGCATGAAACGGGTAGGGACGATGCTGGGAGAGACTTACACAGAAAACAAATGGTTACGGATGTTGTCGATCGAACCATTCGAGCAGCAAAGCGCACAGCCGAATACGTTCATCGGGTTATGCGAGAGCGCGCTGAGGGTGCTGTTCCGCTGCGCCAGCAAGCGTTCCAGGGCCTTCGTGAGGGCGGCCTGGCGAGGCGAGATGCGCCCCCAGCAGGATGCAGCGTTGACGCCCTCCGTTGAGTGGCAGGCGATGGAGTGCTGTATCTATCAGCAAGAAAGTAGGTGTTAGTTAGGCATGCAATGTATGCCCAGCTGGTGCCGCGTAAGAACGGTACTGATATGGTCTACGTACTGCAGCCTGCCAATCAAAGACCTGCCACTTTTCGAGGCCCTCCGTTGGGCAAAGCGAGCAGACAAGCCTAACGCTTACATCTTGATCGTTCATCTCATAACAAGTGGCCAATTCGGGCGTGAAGCCGCACAGGGAGACGATAGTACGAGTGACAATATTGTGGTCGTCGAACACCACAAGCTCCTCTCCCCGGTACCGGGCGTCATGGTCAGAACGCACATGCTGTGCGGCGAGGAGTTCGTTGGTGCCTTTCGGCTCTATTCTTGACCTATCGCGGAAGCATCGATGAGAAAGAAGGTGTGGCCAGCGTAGTTGTCGTTGATGGCAGCGCTTGCAGACAAAAGAGACGATTGCGAGGTTGAGAAGGGTGTCCTGCTCTAGGGAAGCCGAAAATTTGCCTAGACCCTTTACCGCGAGCTGGGTAAAGATGTTCCAGTAGTGGTCCTTCCATGTCTTTGCGAAGTCGGACATATGAACGTAAAAATTATGAAAGTCCTGAGTGATGTTGCCAGACCCGTCCTCGAGGAGGCCCCGGATCGCTGGTGAAGTCGCGAGATCAAAAAACCCCGGCTCGTAGTCCCATTCCTGAGTACGTGGAGTATTCGAAGACTGATAGGCATCGAAAAGGTTTTGGAAACGTTTGAGGTATTTTCTGTACGACGCCTCGGCACGATACTTATCGCGGACTGACGTCATGTACTGGACGATAGACGTGCGGATGATGTTCCATCCTGACTCAATGATTCAGTATACATTGATATGCGCTGATCATACATACATGCCTTTCTCAGTGAGTTTGGACGCTCTGTTCACGGAGCTCATCCTCTTGAGGTCCGCGAGATCCGAGTATCGCATGTGATCAAACACCTCGCCAAAGCCTTCCTCACGCAGTCTGACTTTGATACTAGTAGTGACCGTCAGAACGTCGTATGTCACAAGAGGCTGCACCTACTCACGCTTTGAACCGCTCCCCCTTCAGCTCATATACTTCCTCTGACCTCTTATGCTGGCATAACCTCTGCCACGCTGAGAGGAGCTCACAGTGCTGGGGACGCGTTCTCTACGCGTTAGGCGAGCAAAGCAGCGAATGGGTGAAACGCACCTTCTGACTCTCCCTGACGAATGCCGCCCTGTCTTCCTTAAACCTGGTTCTCTCCTCATCATTCCGGAGCTCAGTCCATTCCCGTTTCAGAGCGTCAATCTCGGGCTTGTGATACTTCCGTTTGGAAGGGCGCCGACTGTGGCTGTGTAGAGTCAGGCTAAGGTTTCATCGATACGTGGGTGTGGAGGAACGCGGCACACTTGGTTCTGGGGTTCACGTATAGGTGGTATGCGTTTTGGAACGCTATCATCAAGAACGCCGACACTTCGCTCTCATCGATGAACCTAAGAGCATAGCATGTGGATGAGCGCCAAGCGGATGAGCCACCTCGTGTCAGACTCACATAGCTTTCCGGCATGGATCACAGTATCGGACAGAGAATAGCCAGTGAACAGCCTGGATGTTGGGCTTGCTACAGTTCTGTAATGTATGAGATATGTGAGATCGTGGCGATGTTCCCGGTAGATGTTACTTACGTGACAATGTGCGCAAAAGAGGAGGTTAGCGTATGCAGGCTCACTTAAATACGAAGGAGGCTCCGGTAGGCCCTCGACAAGTTTCCTTGCTTCTCGCCAAAATGGTGCTGAATTCCGGCTCATAAGGAGAGCTCTGAATTCCCTCGTCGCTCGTGAGAGGTTCAAAAGGTCTTTCGGGTGGAGGAATCCAAAAATCTAGCGGGTGCAGTGTGAATAACGACTGATGAAAGGAAATAAACAAGCTGGAAACCCGCCTCGAAGAGAATATCCAGTGGCATCTCAGGCATATCCCTCAGTCCACCCCTGCGGCCACGAAGATGGCGACGAGGACTAGAGAATATGAGCGCACCCGTCTCATGGATAGACTGGGCCGCGCGTGTTGTCTGGCTAGAGCTCGGAGGATGAGTGTTGAAATACTCGTCGGCTTGCATGGAGGTCAGGGCGAAGGGAATTCAGGGCTTCTGAGAACAGAGGAGGAAGAAGGGGCATTCACCCGACTATGATGAGTATCTGCATCACTCGTAAGTTAAGTACCGGTCGACGCGCGGGAGGTGGCATGCCCGGGACCACACCCAGTGCGGTAGTGGACTTCCATGACCCCTCAACGCTCAAGCGCTCATGTCCTAGGTCCGGCTCAGGTCCACCACGCCTTTTCAGGCAGGTGTACAAGACACCTTATGATATATCTCCCTCTATGTTCGTTCAATGAGGCACGCGGCAACCATCGAGTACAGCCACGATGACACCATATGGCGGTGTCTCACACAGCTGGTGAGTCTCGAGACCTGCGCGACTTTGCTTCCATTGAGCCGAACTCGCTCTCATTGACTTGACTCACCCATGCGGTCTCCCAGCGGGCTTCTCTGGGGGTCATTGAAAGGATCACAGGTCGTACGGTCACATCTGGAATTCCTTAGTGTGAGTGCAGCACAGGGATCAGACGATCGGGACAATGGCTAACAAGCGTTCTTCTACCCGCAGCTCGACCAGGTAGACGACCTAAGCGCGGTCACCTTGCTATTGAGGCAGTACAGCCTAAGCTAGTGAGCTTTTTCCTGGCGATCCTCCTGTGGCAGGACATAACATATGGTTCGTAGTGCTGCATATGCGTTGATATGTCACAGTGCTCCTTCCCCTCATCACAGCATATATGAGTTTACTAGTAAACACGCAATCGACAGTGTTTGCCCGGGCTCAGCTTCACCATGACTTTCGGACGCTGTAACAGGAGCTCGACGGCGGACGCTGCCGGAAGGACATTGATAGCATGTGGGGTTTGTTTCCATCCCTCGAATTTGACAGACGCCATGCCGCTCATGCAAGCAGACTTGATCAAGTGTATAGGGTACTCCGCAAAATTCATTCCCCACCTGGCCTGGAGCTTCTGCGTTTCCCTCATCTCGGCCCTGTCAAGTAAGCTGCCCAAGGTCCTTGGGTGGAAGAAGAGGCTCCAGGCTGTTGCATTTGATCCCAGGAGCACACACCTCGTCCCCGCGATTCGGGGCCTTCCGCACCGACTAGCCTGTATTCGTGTCGTAGCAACATACAGGGCCGGTTTCAGGTGTAGCTTTCTCGCCATATAGAACCCCGATCATGGCCATGTAGACTCGCGACGCATCCAGTGGCACCTTGATCTTGTCACCCGGTGGACAGGCTATTCGGGTATACACAGTGTGTTTCTCCCCCGGATGATGGCCCTCTATTTTTTCCGACTTGACAGTGGCAGGAGTACCTTCTACCAGAAGATGAGGACTTTGGCGGTTGCACCGCTGGTCTACCCGCTCTGTTATTTATAACTCTCGCCCCTGGTCACCGTGCGCTTTGATTCTCTTTCCCGGCGCTCAACACACTGTCCTCCCACTTGAGTAATGCCAACATAATACGTACAGCGTTACAGAGGGGTCTCGTGAGAGACGACATGCTCATCATCCTCTAAGAACTTCTGCAAAATAAACTAGCCCACCGCGAGGGTCGAACTCGCAGCCTTCAGATCACGTGGCTTTAACCCGCCTAAGAGTCTGACGCTCTATCCGATTGAGCTAGGCGGGCGGTGACTATAACCGCTTACAACACAATACAATATGTCATCCACTAGGTAATGAGATAAATCTACGAAAAAACAAGTGATACATCGAGTGCCGGCTAGCTTTTTTTCTTGCTTTTCTTACGCGCTGCAGCGTCAGAGGTTGCATCCTCGTAGGCTTTGGGTTCCCTCCTTTTCCGCTTCTTCTCCTTCCGCGTCTCAGCTTCCTGTGCTGCCCTCGCTTGCCGCTCAGCGTCGTCTGCCAGCTTGCCCAGCTTCCCGAACGGGTCCATGTCGCTGTCATCGTCGTCGCCAATCATCGCATCCACCTCTCGCTCGCTCTGAAGCGCAGATGACGGACGTGAGGTGGCGAGGTTCCGAGCGGCGACCGTTGAGACAGTGGTTATCGGCGCTTTAGGGACGTGTTCAGGGGAGAAGGGGTCGGGCTGTATTGATCCGACTAATGAGAGCATCTGGTTCGCGACGGTCAACCTAGGGAACGCTATTAGGTCAGCATGATCTTGGATGAGATATAGCGTGCTGGAGGCATACCCAACGACAGTGAACTCAAGAGAGCCGTCTGCGTCTCCGAGCTTGGTACCGGTTATCTTGTGGACCCATCGCCCGCCGCCGTCCACACCTTCCTCCGCAGCTTCCCCCTCGGCCTTTCCCTCCTGCCTCGCACCGAACTCTGGATCATTCTCTGCGGGGCCATACTCAAATCCGTAGCTGTCGGTGGTGATATGATGTCGGGGTATCGAGGCGTTGAATGTCCGGTGCACGAGCAAGGAAATGTGGTCCGGGGAGCATAGGTTGATTTTGCCGGCTATGATTACGAAACGAGTTAGCACTAGCTCCAGAGTCCCTCCTCACCAGCATACATACAAAGCTTCATGCCCACTTGTGGGCTCCATACTGTTGCGTCGAAGGCGATGCGGCAATTCGCGAAGGGAGAGTCTGCCTTGATGCTGGCGACCTTGTCCAGGAATTCTAGCCGATCATGCGCCAGGACTACACCCTGCAATGCGGGGATATACCTGCAAATATCACACGCGACGTAAGGCGAGGCGCAGGCTTCCCAATCACTTCACCGCAAATACATATATACAGGTACATAACGACATACCTCATGAGCATCGAGTCCAGGAGCTCCTCCACGCCTCCCCGGAGATCCCCCGCAAACACGGGTGGAACAGACACGTTCAGCGACGCGCGCACGATCCGGAAAGCGTCGTCCGTCGCACGAGCCTTTCCCTTGTCGTGCTTCGCCTTTTTGTGCTTCTTCGCGTCCTTCTCCTTCTTGGACCGCTTGGTCGAAGGCTCCCCCGCTCCGCTCGTCTCCTCCACAACAGCTACGTGCTTTCTCTTCTTCGTCTTGTGTGCTTCAACCGTCTGAGACATCCCTCCAAAACACAAGAGGCAAGACGACCAGATAAGATGTTCACAGAGACGTTATAATGCCAGAACGGGCGGACACAGGGAAAGCTCGAGGGTGCTGAACGCGCGGAAGCAGCTGGTGGCAGAAATTTTGGGAAGCGCCTGAGAGAGCGACGCGCCAGTGACGGGCGTCTATGTGGCATTCCGTGCCGGACGTCGTCGGCACGTCTCTCACAGTAGTTCTTTGGTACTGTCACCGTCGTCGTGGGCTGGGTTTGGGGTCATGGTACGTCTTTCGTTTCGCTCAGAATATGGGACAGGAATGATAGATAGCCCATGCGCCTTGAACAGTCTTCGCCAAGGGTCATCGTGCAGATCGCCATTGCTGGCGCAAAAATCTTTGGGAAGGCGTTCTACGCGGCCGGGAAACAGGCAATAGCAAGTTCGTACTCCACTATATACTTTACATGAATGGCGGGGACAATGTTGACGTAGGCCCTGAACAGATGCAAAGTACCGGCCGCCAGGCACAGCGGGGGGCGATGTCGCAGGCATCGGGAACGCGACCTCTGGTTCCATAACGGACAGGCTGACGAGGGAACACCGGATGACGCTAGACGAGGCGCGGTTGATTCTGAACGTGAAGGACAAGGATCCGGTAGAGAGGATAGTGCAGGTGCGCCTTGCAGTTCCGTCCTCGTGTGTGTGCACGCGCGCTGACACGGTGTTACGCTGTTGCAGAACTACGAGCACCTGTTCAAGCAGAACTCACCACCACCGCCTCCCGAGAAGGCTGTGCCCAAATCGTCCAAGCAGGCTGCGCCCGCATACTCGCACTACCTCCAGTCGAAGGTCGTCCGTGCAAAGGAGCGGCTGGACGCGGAGCTCAAGGCGTCGCTCGAGGGCGAAACCCCCTCGCCCCCTCCACCAGAAGCACTGTCGTCGAATCCGCCTCCGCCCGCATCGTAGTCTCGACCGCGCCGTCACCTCCGTCAGGCCTCATTCTCATCTCCCCGCGTCACTTCTGTTATCACGCGCATACACCCGCACCGCTCTGCTTTCGCACACACTTCATACCTTGCTTATACGTAGACCTAATGCACTGTATCATCTGCACACTATTAGCATCACACCCCATTCAGTCTCACACACCCATCGGACGCGTACTCGGACACCGGTGCAATGGACGGCTGCGTACACTGCGCTGCCAGCAAGGGTGAGGTGCGTGGGCAACTGAACGGTGACACAAGCGATCTAGATTCACCGCAATCTGCGAGGTCGTCTCGATGTGGTGAGCCAATCGATTGCAGCGCAAAAAACGAGGGATACTGCGGGTAAGCACGTTTTTGATGAATCTGTCTCGATCAATGAATGTTGAACACACCAGCGCCCTACATGTGTTCTATGTAGGTTGGGCGGTGGCGAAGACAGATGGGAGTGCAGGTGTCACCATAACCGAACTCGCGTACTCACCGCGAGTCACATTATCGTAGAACATCCGGCCATCTATGCACGCTATACTCGGGCAGGACGGAAAACGATGGTATTGGGCGCGCGCTACGGAAGCTGCGCGGGACCACCGAGTCCGTGTCGCCACCGCTCTCTCGCGCGACCGGTGGGCCGAGCTCAAGCCGGCGGAAGGCGAATGTACCTGATACATGAGACGTAGCTAAGCGAGACCAAAAATGGGGCAGCGGAAGGGTGGGTGCAAAAACGAAAGCTCGAGGAGCGCGAGCTCCCGAAGGGCGAGGGGACGAGGATCCTGGGCTGCGAGCCCTTAACCTATATACTACTAGAGACAAAGCAGATGTAAAGCGGCGAGGGGGTGGCACGAGTTACGCTGTCATAGACCCTGGACAATAATCATTGTCCAAAACATGGCCGGTGTAAGCCGTGTCTATGCATCAATCGAGGCATCGTCAGCTTTAACATGACGTTCTGATAGAGTGTGTGCATCAACATGCGGAAGTACGTTATCTCCTTGATGTAGATGGCCGATAGGAGATGCAGGGGACGATGACTACTTCAGCATGCCAAAGGTCAGGTGAGTCCGACAAGCGACGACTGTACCACTCACAAACCGGTCGCTGGAAGGACGAGGAACAGCCAGGACTCAAACATTTGCATCTTCCATCGTCATCTCGTTATCCCAGTGTTTCTACCATCACGTCGGCCTGAATGCATGATGTTTACACCATGCTGCTTTTGCGGACTCATGCTAAGCCTACCCATCTTCCAAGCACAGCGAAAGGACTAGTTTCGGGGAATTGCACATGATTCGCAAGCGTGGCATCATAAACAGATCTATATCTCAGGACCGAAGCTCCGACGAAGGAAGGCAGATCGCCAACGATGTTCTTCGAGATGGGAGATGGTCTCCAGATGAATCGCATGCGCGGAGACAGCCTGCTATCGGGAGCTTCTCAGCCGCCCCGACAGTTCACTAAACGGGTTAGTATGGGACTCGAGATGTGGAGTATGGACCAGCCGACGGAATGTTCACGCATTATTTGTGGCACGCGGACGATGCGAGCACGGAGAAGTCCTGCAACACGCCGGAGTGGGGGGACTGATCCTCTCAGCTGAACAGAAAGCCGAGGATCGATGTGCATCGTGGCCGTGCGATGTACGCACACCTTGGGGAGCGCAAGTGGCCTGCCGGAGAGCACACTACGGTCGTCTGAGTGATAGCGTGCTGTAGAATGAATGCAACTGACGCGACAACAGTGGAGATGGAGATGGACAGGCTCGGCCGAGACAGAGCATATAGGAGAGCTGGATATCCGGATTGTGGCGGGCGTAGCCGGAGGACCCGCCGGAAGCCGGAAGGCGCTTGCGGGCGTCAGATGATCAGCGGCGTAGCGCCGGCGAGGCGAATTTGGGAGGCGGATTTTCTGGCGGTGCCCGAGCTTGTCTTCTTCAAGACCGGACGGTCATCTCTGCTATCGTGCCCGTCCTCAACCTCCTCTTTCTCGTCGGGGACGCTCACGGGACGTCCCCTCGCAACACTGTTCACTCAACATATTCATCATTGCCCGACATCTCCCTCGACGCCTCGCCGCACTGCCACTCGCAAGCCGTCGTCGCCCAGCCCAGAGGGGGCTGCTCCTCTCTTCCCCATCTTCGTTATGGCCCTCGGCGGTCTGGGTGCCATCCTGCTTGCTGGTCACCCGACACACGCGCTCGGCAATGTCTTTTCAAAGGTCGATCTCCGTTCCGTGTTTTTCGCCGTTGTCATTGTCGTAATCGTCTTGGTATTGGGTGCGTGATGTTGCTTCACCCTCACCGCCCCCTCACTTATCATCCCTTCTATCTCATAACGTGCTCTTGTGCCCTTTAACCACGTTAACATTGCGCAAATTTTGGCATCTCATTCCATTTGGCGCACGATCAGCATATCTCACCAACCCTTCTGAGACCTCCTTTCGAACTCATCTCACCGAGCTGCACATTAAGGAGCACATCAGGCAACTGGAGGGTGCCCAGGACGACAGCTCTGCTTCCGAAGGCTCCGCTGCGCACTTCACTCTTTCACGCAGAACCCCACCAATCGCGCGGAAGCTAGGAAGCAACTTCGACCCAAGGTCGCCTTTCCACTTCGTCAGCCGTGCCTCGGTTTCTCTTCGCACCCCGAAACATGTCTTTCAGAATTTCGGCATTCTGTCGATAGCTGCAGTCTATCCACCGAGCCGCTATAGTGCGCAGGGAAACGGTCACGCGGCACAGACCGAGAACCTCAGCCCCTCTGTGTTCGATGCGTGGTACATCGGCGTGTTCGGGACTTGGTGGCGAGGTGGCATTGTGCAAAGTTGGTGGCATGAGATGCTGGAGAACACTAAGGAGAGGTGCGGATCTGGTCTCTTGGATATCAAGGCACTCGATGTCCTCGAGGGATTTGACGGTGAGTGTTGTTGACTAATATCATTGAGATCCGAGACGATCGTTTCTGCTAGGTCTTCCTCTACCTACCTCGTCACGTCTGCCTACAGAAGCTCCCAACAAGCTAAGGGGAACCGAGAGATCGACGCAGCGATCCACGAGCAATGCACCTCGCAGCACCACCCCTCCCCCTCTTCCGAAGTCCGCATCGCTTCCCCTCCATGCCCCTAGAGTCCCTGCTTCAACCCCTCCGAAGGGCAACGGAGGTCCTAATCAGCGTCATGCACCCAGCGTAAGCGCGCCCGTGACGCCCGAGCAACCGCGACCGCCTGCACCGCCCATGTTGGCGTACTCCCCGTCGTCAACCTCGTTGTGGGACTCGTCACCGATCATCGCTGAAGTGCTGCGTCAGATATCGCAGTCCAAGGCCGCGGTGCGCGAGCTCCACAGCCAGCTCAACGACTTCCGCACAGTCTCGTCCGAGTCGCGCTCGTCGATCCAGAGCGAGCTCGAGGCGCAGCGCGAGCGTAAGCGTGAGGAAGACGCGGCGCGTGCGGAGCTGAAGTCGCGCACGAAGACGCTCGAGGACTCGAGACGCTCAGCGGAGAGCAGCAAGCGCGATGCGGAGAAGCGTTTGCGGGCTGCGGAGAGCGCGCGCGATAACGCTACCGCGCGCATCGAGAAGCTTGGAGAGGAGATTGGGGTGTTGCGTAGCCGGATGCGGGACGACGAGTTGGCGGTGGTGAGCTGTAAGGAGGAGGGGGATGTGAAGGAGAGGGAGGCGCAAGAGACGTTGGAGAAGAAGAGGAAAGAAATCAAAGTCGCGGAGGACGTCGTTGCCGCTTTGAACATGCGTGCGAAGGATCTGGAGGAGAAGATCGTCCAGGAGGAAGATCGGCTGCGTCGGGCGAAGGAGCAGGCGGAGATCAAGAAGCAGGACCGCTCGTTCTATCCACTCACCGTTGTCCCTACGGTCAACGAGGAAGACGTCGCCATCCCTCCCTGGAGCTCTTATGGGCGCCAGAACCAGTCTCAAGACTCCTCTCCAGACTCGGTCACTCAACACAGCGGCGAAGATATCGACCGCCAGGAAGCGTTTCCCCATCCCATCCAAGCCCCGAAGAGTAAAGGTTCGGTCTCTTCTGGCTCCGGAAGCAGCGACGCGAGAGAGCCCTCAATCTCCCCGCGTCCTGCACGCCTGTCTCTTACGGCCATCTCCAACCTGCGCGAGCCCACCACTCGCGTCCTTCCAGAGCCTGATCCCAACGGCCAAGTCCTTTTGCGCCCTCGCGGTATTACGCTCTTAACCAGCGACCTGCCCACGCTCTCTACAAACTCGACGTCTACACGTTTTTCTCCTTTCGGCGACAGCGATGGGCAAGAAGCTCTTTCACCTGCGGATGGTCTCAACCCCCCGAGCAGCATCTCACCCTCGTCGTTCATCCCGAGCAGTCTCATCCACTCTCTGGACGGCGCAGGCGGCTTCGATATGAATCTCTCACGCTCATTCCAGAGTGAGGACGACGCCGTTCTGTCACGCGACTGGCGTAAGAATGCTCCATTTCCTCGCCCGCTGCCTGTTGAGAGCCCTGGCACAGGGCAGTACACGACATCTCCGTCGTCATTGACCTGCCCCTCCTTCGAGGGCGTGGACAAGGAGGACCCATTCGAAGTCCGTCCCCTGCCTACTCGCCGCCGCCTCACGTCGGAGCTTATGGACCTCCAACGCGCGACGCTCCCGCCCAACCGCACCATCTCGGACCCGCTGCTCCCGCCCGCCGCCCTTATGGTTGCAGTGGCGGACCACGAGAGTCAAGACAAAACCGGGCTCGCGCACCGCAGGTGGTCCTCACAACAAGACGCGCCTGGCAAGGAGCGCAAGGGGCTCAATCCCGAAGCGAAGGCGTTCTCACTCACTAAGCGCACCTTCCCCTCGCTGTACCCTTCGCCGGTGCCCCACCCGCACGCGTTCGACCCGCTCGGGCCATCCCCGTTGGGCATTCCAAGCGTCGTGCCCGAGCCGGACGGCGGGAATCTCTTCTCGTCCATCTCGATGCGCGCATTCGCGCCGTCGCCTGCCGAGCGCGAGGCTCTGAAGCGCGCCCTGGGAGGGTCGACGAACGCGAGCCTTGAGCGTCTCCCGACGCTCTCCGAGGTGTCGTCCGTGTCGAGCAGCATCCCGAGCATCCCGAGTCTCAGCCTGAGCTCCAGCTCGCCGTCCTCCCCGTCGCACAGCCACTCCCACGCGCATGCGGTCCCGGCGCCTCCAGGCCTAGGAGCCCCCGCTGGTCTTGGGCTCGGGATGGGCGTGAACAAAGACGCCAGTCTGGTGGGCCTTGGGCTCGGGACCGGGCGGACGCTCCTTGGGCCCTCGCTCTCGTGGCTGCAGAACTTGCCTCGCGGGCGCAAGCCGAAGTTCAGCCCGTGGGAGGACGAGGAGACGAAGGAGCTCGAGGTGGGGAGCGGCGGTCAGTAGAAGACGTGAATGCGGACGCGAACGCCTCTTGGTGCGAACGCTCGAGTCCAGCGAGCGGGTATATGAGTACTATCTATCGTGTGTAGAACCGCCGACGCGCGCAGAACAATGGGAGGGCGAGTGCTGGGGGATCCAAGTGTAACGGAGGGAGGAGGAAAGAAGCCGAAGAGGGTTCCGCGCGCCCCAAGTAACGCACCGTATATAACAGCGCAGTAACGATAGCCAAATGACAAGAATATCTCCCAACTGCCCATCCGACGGAGGTTTGCACCGCGTCTGCGCGTGCGTGAGTGACCACGGGACTGACGTCGATGTGCGAAAGTGGCCCGCGGCGGGCTCGTCGGGGAACCGCGCTGTGGGTTCTCTGTCGACGGAGCTTACGCTGGAAATGACGGTCGCCGCCCTTCGAGGCCATATGCTCAGGCACGGAGGACGAGAGCCGTTTCAGGCCTGTGACCGCTCCCACTGCGCACTCCAACCGTACACCGATAGGCTGGGGTGCTCGAGAAGGCACTGCAACGGTCACACTCAGCGCCACCTACCCGGTCCCCAGTCGGACACTGAGGACCCGTTCATTGAGTCTTAATTATGGAAAGCCGAGTTCTCGAGTTCGAGGCGGATGACTTTGGGTTTCAGGGGACAGCCATACAATACCTCGAGGATGACCGGATCACTGACGGACGTTCAGATCCGCAGATATGTATGCTTTCCCGTCCAATGACGCGGGACGGGCATGCCTTGTCGATGTGGGCACACGCGAGATGCGAGACAGAGGGAGACTCGTTGCTATATTCGTCATGGGACATCACGTGCAACTCCAGAGAGAGAGAGAGATAGAGAGAGACAACGCTTGAGGGGACCTAAGAGGGTGTGTGTGGAGGACTGATAAAGGAGGGTATAAGGATAAATAGATGCGGTATGGACTGCTTTTGTAGGACTGGCGGCGCGAACGTGGCGGTTGGAGCGTCGAGGTGAGCGTCGTATATCCAAGAGAGGGATGTTTGACAAACAAAGCAGCGGTCACGTCAGCGTTGAACCAGTGATTGACGAGGCGGTGTGACGTACGCATGCGACCAGAGATACGGTGCATATCCGTGTGCGCTTGCTGGGTTTGCGCTTGAAGCGTGCGAGCGGGCTTGTAAAGTGTGAGGAATTGTAGTGACACTATGACACTAAGACTCCATGACACGTCCACCCGCGCGGTCCATCCGGCCCTATAGACAGCAGGGATAGTAGCAATACACGTACAATGTGCGGGGAAAGCGCGACCAATGCGACCAATGCGCGATGCGGCTGTGCGTGCGGCGAGAGTGTGTAATGAAAACAGCGGCGCGGTACACGAAAAAATCCAAGCTTGTGCTGAGTGCCAGGGAGATGGGAGCAGACCGCCAACGATGCGGGTATAGGCGACGGGCTTGTGGACGAGACGACGGATACACTGCGAGAGAAAACGGGCCTGCGCGAAGGAGTGTGGAGAAGCCGACGAGGAGATGTCGCGCTTCCAATATGAGATGAAATGGAGACAAAGTAGGGGGTGACCATGCTGATCGCACTCCAGCGATGCGAATGGGTACAGGAGAAGTGTTTCTGCACGCCTTCCTGCGCGATGCAGCAGGTCGTCAGCAGCGACCGGAGGTGCGGCCCTGGTCAGGCTGGGAAGTCTCGAGCCGAGCAGCCGCGTGGACTATACTGCCGGATTCAAGATACCACGCACGTCGCCGACGTGAGAGAGATCGGTGAGGAAGGGGCAAAGGTCAGTGAGTTCGGTGTCATGGGGGTCGTTGAACCAGGACGACACAGGCACCGCGTTGTGGGGGTGGAAGATGTAGGATGCGGGTGAGTTGTCGAGGATAATCGTATCCTTCACGGGACGCCCTAGTTGTGATAGGTCCTGGGTAGATGTAAGACCGGGACCTTGACATGAAGGCGGACTGCAAACATACCTTTACGTAATTCCCTTTATGGTTGTAACAGCTTTCCCGGAATAACCGGTGGGCAACGGAACGGTAAGGATCAAGCCTGTCGAGGACAGGATCGGCGTACTACACGAACCACTGGCTATGAGTGGCACATCCGGCATTGTTAGCACACTATGGACGCACCTTGCTCAAACTGGCGGTGAAGACGACAACTTCGTAAATCTCCCCCATTCGTCTAAGGAAGTCGTCTACGCCTGGGCGTTTGAGCACATAGAAGTTGTGCCAATACGCCTCTATCTCCACCGGAACAATGTAATCTGGTGATGGAACAGCCTGTGTGGGTTCGTCAGAACGATCGTCGATAACGTGGGAACTGGACTTGCCTTCAAGCTGCTGTGCACAAGCGTCTCGTCTAGGTCGAGCACCAAGCATTTACGACCGGCGTGTTCAGGTGCAAGTGGCGGCAGCAAAGGTCTCGGCTGGCCGTCCTGTAACCCATCGAGTTGAACAAAGAGTGCGTTGAGCGCATACAGGAAGGGTACTCACGGTACCAACAGGAATACCAGTTCCCCCCGACCTGATCAGCCGCTGCTCCTCGTCCTCCACCTCGTCGATCAAGATGGTGTCGTGAAAGTTTAGATTCACCTCATCGGTGAAGGAGCTATCCGAATCGTCGGAGGCCTCGCGGCGACGCGACTTGTCGTAATGTGAGGTGGGCGTTGGAGTGAGGTTCTCACCTGTGGAACCGGGTGGTTGCACAGCGCCCGACGTTAGACCGTCCGTTTCCGATAGCGGCAGAAGCTGCTTCGTAGGCGTGGGCGGAACGATGATGTCGCCATCGGGAAGGACGGTGGGGATCGTGAGTGGCGGAAGGGTCGGCGCGTTGACTAGTTCCATGTTCGTGTGGGAATAAGGTGGGCAACCGATATCGTGGTTACATACCTGTCGTAGACGAGGAGTGTGTTCCGTGATGCGCGGTCTCAGTATCTTTCAGCGTCTGCTTCTCTGACTCCGGCAGTTGGCCCTCGTCGAGATCGATGGGATGGGTGTGTCGAGTCGCGACGCAAGACTTGCAGAGACGGGTGAACTTCAACAGGAAGGACTTCTTGGCGCGCTTTGCGGGCGGCTTTGATTCTTCTAGTGACGGAAGAAAATCAATCAGGATCGACGGCGATTTAGCATTTCCACTAAGGGACTGGCCATCTCGGCGACGCTTGCCTACTGGTGCTGAGAAGGTGGACACATCCTTGTCCTTGTCCTTCAGTGTGCCGGAAGGGTCCGCTGACGACTTCTCAGCGATTGAGATTGCGGTGCCTGTCATGGTGGTTGGCGGATCCGAATGTGCAGTCAGATCGGACTGGGTGGGGAACGAAGAGGACGGGTCCTGCCCGTGGCTGCTGTGGGTATCGCTTGAATGAGCGTCCGTGGCCTGAGTTTGCACGATGGTGTCTCCGCCCGAGGTCGCGCTGCTTCCTTCGCCGGCAAGGATGTGAGGAGAGGTAGAGGAGGGTGCGGGGGTGCTCCCCGCGTGACTTGGATCGCCGTTGGAGTTGGATGTCTCGACATCTCGACCCGGACCTGCTTCTGACGCCTGGCGCAGCCCTTCAATTCATAGATTCCTGCATACGCCCTTATGAGGCCAGTACGCACCTGATCGCGGGCGGAAGAGTGCAAGGACCGAGAATTGGCCATGGCCTCACGAGCTCTTTGCAAGACGGGGCGGCGAGAGGTGGGAGGAGAGGCTGTCGTCGCTGTCCATCAGACTGCCCTCTCTCCCTGACCCTCAGGCGCCCGCTCGAAGCGCCTGTAGGCGATATCTCGCGCGGTCCGTGTCCCGCCGCTTCTGTCCTTTCCGCCATTGTTCATGAACGCTTGATTTGCCTCAATTACTTCAATCATACGACCCTTTTTGCGGTGTACCACGCCTACACCACGCCTCGACGCAGCGCGTGAACAAGCTCTCGCGGGAGCGAGGCATGCCCAGTCCAAACCGTATATCCCTGCAGACGACTCGCTTCGCTTGGCACAACGAGCTCCACCCTCACCATTGCCGTCTGAGAGCGCATCGTGGAACCGCCGACCACGAGCAGTGCCACCATGTGCTCTCTTTACTTTGTTCTCTCGCGAGCCATCTGCGCCCAACTTTGCCGTCGTGGATGCACGAACTGCGCTCACGAAGCGCGAATCAACCCGCGGAAGGACTTCTAGCTGTGCCTGGTCCGTGCGCGCGAGCCACCTAGTATATAAAGGCGCTCCCCCTCGCTCAGTTTCCCCATTCTTGTGCTCGGGCACGTACTGTCGCCAGTGAGGTCTTTACCGAGGCACAGTCTTTTGCTGATTGCAAATTACACATCCGAACACGTCTGTTAGCTTCGGCTTTCAGCAATTTTTGGAAAACCCCTCATCCCGATGACGACCTTCTGGTCAGAGGGGTCCTTTCTAGAGTAGCTTAGTTAGCGCTGCCCATGAATATAACTTGTTCTCCTACCACCATCCGTCTGCTTGAGTGCAGTGCAGTTAGTATCGCGAGTTGTGGCAAGTAGTATGGCTTTCATTACCATCACTGGTTTCCCGTGTTCTGGAAAGTCTAGAAGGGTAGAGCAGTTGCGGGCGCATTTGGAGATCCGATTGCGAAGTCTTGCTTATGAGGGCCCGCGGTTGAAGGTGGTCGTGGTCTCTGACGACACTTTAAATATCCCTCGCAGTGTTTATGGAGGTGAGCATACTTTGGAACATGTGGCGCTATTCACAGCTGACGGTTCTGCAGATGGGCGGGCAGAAAAACCTGCACGAGGTGCCTTGTTCGCTGCAGTGCAGAGGCAGATGGGCCAAGATACCATCCTGATTGTCGACTCGATGAATTACATCAAGGGATTCCGATATCAGATGTACTGCGCTGCGAGAGAACACAAGCTGAGAGTTTGCACGGTAGGTTAACCCTCGTAGCCGCTTAGTTTGTTCGAGCAACCCTGATCCTCGCCAAGTAGGTCTTCGTCGCGGCGACGCAGGAGCAATGCAAGGCATGGAATGCCTCGCGACAGGATGGCCGCGCATACGCACCCGAGACGTGAATGATCAGTTTCTCTGTACCGCGTATGGTTTTAGTTGACGCAGTTACAGGCTTGAAAACCTCATGATGAGATATGAAGAGCCATCGTCCATGGTGCGCTGGGATTCCCCACTTTTCACCGTCCCTTGGATAGACGAAGACGTACCAATCGACGACATCTGGAAGGCAATCACCGAAGGCAACGTGAAGCCCCCGAATGCAGGCACCCAAGCGGTATATACCTTCCCTTATCGCATAACATCTTCCGCCCCCGCGGACGTCTGACTTCTCCCTCTCCTGCCCCCAGGTCCCTAAAGCCCCCACAGACGCCCTCCGCACCCTCGAGCACACCGCCACAACGATAGTCGCAGCGATCATGTCCGAACAGGCCTCCTCGGGGGGCATCGCCGGGGGTCGCGTCACGCTCTCGCTCTCTCCGACGCTCAAGCCGACGGTGAATCTGCCAGCGCGGAGCCTGACGCTCTCGGAGCTGCAGCGGCTGAAGCGGCAGTTCGTGACAGTGCACAAGAAGGCGATCACGCTGGGCACGACGGAGAAGGGCGCGGTGGACTGGAGCGAGGAGAGCGTCGCGGAGAAGTTCGCGTCGTATATTGAGGGAAACCTGAAGCCGTAGATCAGGGTGTCTAAGCTGCGCGTTGGCTGAGGTCGGGCATGGCAGGTACTGCTCTACGTCGGATATGGATGGTCGACGAGATGCATCGTCTAGTTTGCTACCGCTAGTCGACCTTGTAGGAGCATCTGCTTCGATCGCGAACACCGCGCTCTAAGTTCCCCCTTTCTCTCCGCTGTGCTACAGGTTGCTGCGTTGCGGTAGTCTTGAAATGTTATGGTCAGGGGACGCTCGCGAGTGCACCTGACAGCCACCATAGCCTCCACCCTACTCACTTCACCCTCAAGAGAGTGCTGGATCCCATTATGCGACTCACTTGAATTGTCCTAGGAAGGAGCTCTTCCGCATCTCTTGTGAGTAAGGGTTGGTAAGGAGAATGAATATTGACTGGCGTTAAGACGTATGGTCTATGAAATATCACCTACGATCGTCGGCAATGGTTCAAGTCCCTCGTCCATCCTCGGCGACTGGCTCGCGTGACTCCACTGTCACCTCTAGGACATAGACGGACGACCCTCATGGCTCACGCGTCGGCAGTCAACTCACTCGCCTTCTCCGCTGACAGTCAATAGTATTTCGCGTCTACTAGTCGGCAACCAGCTCGCGATTGAGTTCTTAGCCAAAATGCTTGTAGTAGCAGTCATTCGAGCGGATTTAATTCCTTGTCAGCACGTCTCGTGCACCGCAATGGTACGGCTTACTTTGCAGCCTCGTACACCAACTGCCTGAACGTTTCTCCGCCTCCTGGAGACGTGCGGTCGAGATTTCTTGTCGGGTTTTGCGGGGTAAAGCGCCTGCACGTGCACTCTCGGCCAATGAACGAACGCGGAATTAGTCAGAGCCAATCACGTGTATTGCATAAGATGCTCAGAGGCGCCCGGTTAAGGCGGGGACGGTTCGGGCTCATCTGCCCCGTACTCGTCAATTTCTCTCCTTTCTACCCCTCTAGTCTCCCCATCGTGCCCGCTCTCTCTTCTGCTTTCTACAACACATAAACTATGTCTTTCGCAGCTCTGAGAGCGTCCGCGCGTCGTGCGACCGCTTCTGCCGCTCGCGCTCCCCGCGTCGCAGTGCGTAATGCTGCCATTCGTCGGTACGCAACGGAGAGCACACCAGGCCCGAAGAGCAACGCTGCGCTCCTCGGCGCTCTTGGGGCCGCTGCTCTTGCTGGCGGTGCCTTGTGGGTCTACACCTCCAACTCCGACACGGCCAAGGAGGCTGGCACCGCGGTCAAGTCGGGTGCTCAGGCGGCCAAGGTTGCTGCCAACTATGTCCCGACCAAGGAGGATTACCAGAAGGTTTGTTGTTCCTCACCTCCCCTTTCTCCTCCGTTCCCCCGTCGCATTCCGCAGTAAACTTGCGCAATGACAGCCGTGCTGACGCGTCGCCCTGCAGGTGTACAACCGCGTTGCAGAGATTCTCGACCAGGCGGCTGATAAGGGCTATGACGGTACGTGATATCTTCCATTAGTTTCGTTTCTAGCGAGTCGTGGCAAACATACTCACGCACCGGCTACTTTCGGGAAACGATAGATGGGTCCTACGGTCCTGTGCTCGTCCGTCTCGCCTGGCACGCCTCCGGCACGTACGATAAGGAGACCAACACTGGCGGCAGGTAGGCGTTACCTCTCACGCTAACCGGTGTTGTCCCGCGGTTACTTATGTTCGGCCTCGCTTCGCCTCTCCATTTCCGCTGTCCGTCCCTCATATCGTCGTCCACGATGCATCTGCGTGCTTTACCGTTGGTTTGCCTTTCCGCCGTCGCGAATACCCCTATGATGAACGCACAGCAACTATGCGACGATGCGCTTCGAGCCCGAAGCCAAGCACGGCGCGAACAATGGCCTGAACGTCGCACGCGACCTCCTCGAGCCCATCAAGCAGGAGTTCCCGTGGATCTCGTATGGTGACCTTTGGACCTTGGCAGGCGTCGCGGCTATTCAGGAGCTGGGCGGCCCCAAGATTCCCTGGCGCCCGGGCCGCATTGACGGCTTCGCCGCCCAGTGCACTCCTGACGGTCGTCTCCCCGACGCTGCGCAGGGTGCTGACCACGTCCGCAACGTGAGTACTTCGAAGAGAAACGAGAACGATACGAGTTAGCTGATGACTGGCTTGACACGCAGATCTTCTACCGCATGGGGTACGTTATGCCTCTTATTCGAGGGTCATCATGATAGCTGCTCACAACGTCTATGCACACTAGCTTCAACGACCAGGAGATTGTCGCGCTGGTTGGCGCGCACGCCCTCGGCCGCTGCCACCGCGACCGTTCGGGCTTCGATGGCCCTTGGACGTTCTCGCCGACGAGCGTGACGAACGAGTTCTACAAGCTGCTTTTGAACGAGAAGTGGGTGTGGAAGAAGTGGGACGGCCCGAAGCAGCTCGAGGACAAGAAGACGCACAGCCTGATGATGCTCCCCACCGACTACGTCCTCATCCAGGACAAGAGCTTCAAGAAGTGGGTCAAGGCGTACGCCGAGGACGAGCAGCTCTGGTTCAAGGAGTGCGTGCCCCTTCTCTCTTTTGTGGTCTTATGGGAAACGGCACTTACTGATTGGCTGACATCATCCGTGGGATTGCAGCTTTGCCGCGGCGGTGTCGACGCTCTTTGAGCTCGGGGTGCCCACCCAGCAGTTCGTCTCGTCCGAGCCTTGGATCTTGAAGGGCAGCGACGAGCAGTGAGCGCCCTAAGGGGTGCTGCTCCTGCCAGCGCGTGTCCCGAACGACGGTTCTGTCGTAGAGTCTAGAGTCTAGAGCTAGAATAGAGTGTAGACGTTGGTTACGATGCTTGGTTGTTCGGGATTCTATAGTAGGCCCTACGGTTCGCACTATACTTAGCAGGGGGGGGTAGTAGGACGTAGTGGTTGGGAGAGGAGAAGGATTGCGGGGTAATGTGGGGGTAGGGAAGCAGAGGCGATGGTGGAAAAGGAGCGGTGTATCCGCACAGAGTCTTCTATATTCTATTGCTATTTTCTGCTCATTACTGCTGCCTTGCTGATAACACGTTACTCCCGTATAACGTTCGCGCCCGTGCCTTCTCGCACCCATTGATTGGGCTGCCAAAGGCTCCGTTTCCTTGGGTGTCATGCTTTGTCAGTTGACTGTGTGGGGCAGACCTGCGACAGCGGCAAGCAGCTTCGAATGCGACTCTCGCGACGCGCAGCGGTCACACAGCTCTCCGGGACTCAATGGGGCGCTGAAGGAGCTGAGAGCGATCAGGAGATGCCGTGACAGGGGAGGGGCGGGGCCTATTGTTGCATTCGTGGCGGGTATCAGGTGGTGCGTTGTCAGTTTGGCGGCGTGACCAAGAATCGACTCGTACGTCGCATGTTCTAAAGTTCGGTGGGTCGATAGGGGTTAACAGTTCCAGTGCAATGTGCGTATCAGGTTTTGGGTTGGAAAGCCACGCTCATGGATCTCATTCAGCAAGATATTGATGATGTCGTCTGTGGTCGTGTCGAGGACATGTCGGCAGCAAAGCCGCAGACCGGGTGGGAGAGCAACGTGCTATATTGCCATAGTGCTACTGAAGATACATAGCATATATGTTCTCGTCAATGTACCAGTCGTGTCAGTGAAGACGATGCCGACTTGAGCCGAACAGGAAAGGAAGAAAGCCCTGACTTGTTCGAAACCTAGATCCGCCTTGTATATATTCGCGCTGGTCTACATACAAGCCATTTTCCAGATGGAAACCAGCAGACATGGAAGGTGGTCGAGGCCCAAGCCAACCTGTGAGTATGGAAAGTACACAAATGGCGAGGCAGGAGCACTAGAATTTTCACAGGTAAGCCTCAAGAGAATCCGGACTCGGAAGGCGATTGAGCCGGTAGATAGACAAACCAGCTGGAATCAGCATGGTCCCATGAGAAAAGACGCGACATCCCTGCCCGTACATGAGCCGCATTTTCACACCTCTGGACATGTAGAGCGGAAGCAGGAGAAATGTCTGCACAGGATGCAGACCATACTCAAGCAGAGTCTTCGGAGGAGCAATGGGGCGCTTCATATCGGACATTGCCTGGGTGTCTCCGATCGGCGTTGACTGACTGACTGTCCCTTTGTGGCAACTCGCGTCGCGCGGAATGACGAATCAATGTGACGCGTGCATCAACCTCAAAGTCAACGGTGGCCCGCAGCACTTATCTAGTACATCGGGCCATCCTACACTTGAACTCACCAACTCATCACACCTACTTTCGCGGTCATCTCAGGACTTTGCCAGTAGCCACTAACCACATGCCATCACTCGCCGCCGTCCGCGCCGCCAATGCTGCATTTTCCCCTTCCTACTTCCCCGTCGCAGTCTTCGTAGGCGGAACTGCCGGCATTGGCAAAGCTATCGCACAATCCTTTGCGCGCGTCACCAAGGGCAACGCGCACATCGTCATCGTCGGGCGAAACAAGGCCGCCGCCGAGTCCGTCATCGCGTCCTTCCCGAAACCCACCGCGCCAGAGGCCAAGCACGAGTTCGTCGCGTGCGAGGACGCCGCGCTCATGCGCAGCGTCCGCACGACGACGTCGACGCTCCTCGAACGTCTCCCGAAGATCAACTTCCTCGTCATCTCTGCGGGCTTCTGGAGCTGGAAGGGGCGCGACGAGACCGACGAGGGCATCGACCGCCGGCTCGGGCTGCACTACTACGCGCGCTGGAAGTTCATCCACGACCTCCTCCCGCTCTTGCGCAAGGCGAAGGACGCTGACGAGGACGCGAAGGCCATCTCGGTGCTCGCAGCTGGCGTCGGCGGAACATCAATCGACGTGGACAACCTCGGCCTGAGGAAGAACTATATCATGTCGAAACCGGGTGTCGCGGGCCCAACTTACACCGACTTGATGATGCAGGTGCGGACGCCCCCTTCCGCTCACGGTTGTCCGCTTACTGATAACCCCGTATGGTTCGCAGTCATACGCAGAACAGAACCCGGGCCTGTCTTTCGTTCACACCTACCCGGGAATCGTGCGCAGCGAGCTGCTTACGCGGTCGCATTGGTCGATGCGCGTGCTCAATCCCCTCCTGCAAGCCCTCTTTTATCCGGTGTCGTATTCTCCGGAGGATAGTGGGGAGTACATGCTCTACGCGTTGTTGCAGGCCCCTGCAGGTGTCGCGCGATACAATGCCCAAGGTGATGATATTGGGCGATCTCCGCTATACGACGCCGTAGACGTGCGGACGCGTCTCTGGGAGCACACGAAGGAAGAGGTGGAGGGTGCACTTGCAAAGCACGATGCGACAGGCGCATAGAGCAGACAGACTATGGCACGCTTGAGTGTACTACTCTCTATCCTGCCAACGTTAATGGTATCATGTGTCCCTCAAGTGTTACAATGAGAGATCCTGAACCCAACACGGTTCTCAGTTGTATCATCTTCTCCAGCGTTTGCAGTTGAAGGCCCGGGAAAAGTTCAGCCGCTGAATTATGGGAGATCAGTATCGTTTCTCACAGCCGTCTCGCTACCGCAAGGTCTATACCATGGCCATGGTGCATGCGGTCTACTATATTTGTGGCGGACCTCTCGTGAACGAGGATTTGGTTTGTGCATTGCGGCGGAACACTCGGCCTTCGGGAGGAGCGCTATGCTGCATCCATTCCTCGGCTAGATGAACCTTCAGCTACATCGTGCAGGCCAAGGACAGATGCTACTATGAGGAATGGCTAAGCATAGTTTCCCCGGTCTCCCCCAGATCCCTTCTGCTTTCCACAAATAACTTATATACAGGTAGGGACGAAAGCTGTGATGGAGCTGGTTAATCCCGTTTGGGGTCCAGGAGACGTCGTCACTGTACTCGCTATGGCTCGACCAGTGTCCTGTAAGAGCCCACCGCCATAGGAATAGGAATCCGCTTAGCAGACAGAATAGGGGTTCCGGACAGTCGGTATACACCATATCACGCCCTGGTTATCGCAGTGTGGTCTTGCTGAAATATACCAATCATGGTTAACGGTTAACGGCACAAATGGCTATTGACTTGCACATGGTACAGGGTATCCACATCGCTAGAGTTTGCTACAAATACAATGCAGAGCTGGAGTGAGCTAAATGTACGATGTTCGAGTCGCAGAGCATATAATGGGCAGATACGAGGGAAACGGCGACGCCCCACTATTACACCCTCCGAGGAGGGTTCATGGACCCATGTTCACGTCGAGATCCATCATGTCCTCCCGCAACAGCCTCCTCCGTCCCTGGTCGCATCTCTTCAGATACCCCAAACATCGATCCCCAAATATCTCAAGCCCGTCCAAGAACCCCGGCGGAAGCTTGTCCTTCCGCTGGTCCCACGGCTTCACGTCGACCAGGTCGCACCGGTCGAGACACACGAGGATCATCCCGAAGCTGTACGCGTCCGCGAGCCGCGCGTCCTCGCACTCCCCGCGCAGGATCTCGGGCGCGGAGAACGGCCGCGTGCCGGGGTATATGCGCTCGACCTTGCGCGGGCCGACGGCGGGCGGTGGGGGGATGGCCGGCATCTTCTGGACGAATCTAGAGTTCAAACGGGGATGAGCGGGGGGAGGGGGCGACGCGGGGGGCTCGTCGTCGTACGGCTCGTCGGGGGAGGCGTACGTCGAGTCCGCAGAGACGGAGCGGCCGAAGTCGAAGAGCTTGATGGTGTCGGAGCCGTGCGTGACCTGGATGTTCAGCAGCGAGAGGTCGCCGTGGCTGAGGCCGTACGAGTGGAGGTGCGTGAGCCCGTCGAGGAGCTGGTTGTGGTAGTCGACCTTCTGGGCGCGCGTGAGCGTGTCCCGCTCCGCGCGGATGACGTCGAACAGCGTGCGGCCCTCGAGGTACTCGAGCACCATGCCGACGTTCTCGAGCGCGCCGAGGAACGCGCAGATGTTGCGGTGGCGCGCGACGGTCGTGTACACGCGCAGCTCGGCGAGGAACTGCGTCGTCACGTCGCGCGCGTTGGACTGCATCTCGCCGTTGATCTCGAGCTGCACGACGTTCGGCTTCTTCACGACGCACTTGAACAGCTCCGACGCGGACCCGGCCGCGACTGGCGCCAGACTCTGCGTGGGATTGGGGGGTGCGGAGTACGAGGTTGGGGTGGGGAAGGAGAAGATGGAGGCCGGGTTCGTGGGCGGTTGGAAGATTGGATTCGAGGAGTGCGACGTCGTCTCATATGTTCGTGGGGTCTGGCGATGCAGCTGCTTGGGTGTGCGGTGATGGGCGTGCTGGGAGTCGCTGCCTTGTGTCTCGTCCACCGTGGATATGGGAGCGTTAGAAGGCTGTTCCTCCTCCTCGTTCAGCTCAACTATGCTTTCGGAGGAATGTAAGTGGCGGCAAGTATATCTATGGTGATCGGTGGCACTCACCCATCCACCAATTCTTCTTCGAGGTCAGCGTTATCCGCTTCAGATTTACGTGTCTCGACATTATCACAGGTCCGCAGGCACGCAGGCCGACTGAATAAGACTGTGAGATGGGTACAAAAGCTACACGAGAACACGAGGAGCGTTGAACGCGATAGAGTAGGAAGAACGAGGGCTGTAGGCCGCGCTGCAGCGATCGCTGGGGCAGACTGACAGGCGTCTATCTAATCTTCCCTGAACGGAAGCTGCGACGCATGTTATTTTTGCATCACCACCGACTCTGCTTTCCCCGCTCCGTGGTACACAACGACCGTTCCCTGAGGACCCCGACAACTACAAACACCCCCGCGGGGAAAAGGAATGATCTGATTTCTCTACATCGACTGCCGACAAGATTCACGAGAAGCTGTTCCCGTACTAGTTATCCTTCTTCGTTGCCCTGCACCCTATCGTCCCAGCTTATCTTACAGCCTCCGGGGCGAAGCACTAAATGCGGCACAGATGTGTGAATGGTTCCGTTTTCAGAACATGATTCATATGATGCTAATGTACAGTGAAAATTGGGATCCCGAGGCGAGGGTCGAGGCAAGGTAACGATACTCCTACAGAATCACATCCATAGCAAGAACGAAACGCGTCCGTACGTGCACCAGCCGCTCACAGCACACTCCGCTGCCACGCCGCCGGGCAGCCATCGCGCACAGCGAGGTAGCCCATGAGGTCGCTCGTCAAGAACTCGCTCGGCCACTCCTTCCGCACCTGCGCCTTCAGGTACTTCGCGACGATGTCCAGGTTTTCCTCCGTCACCAGCGCGGTCTTGAGTGTCGGCGCGATCTCGTCCACAAGGCTATCGATCCATGCTGGGGCGATGACCTGCCCGGAGTCCGAGGTGCGGATGCCGTACTTGACGTACTGCCAGAGCTGCACGCGGGTGATCTCAGCCGTCGCGGCGTCCTCCATGAGCCAGTTCAGGGGAATGCAGCCGTTACCACCTAGCCAGGCGGCGCTGTAGGCGAGCGACGTCGCGACGTTCGACCTGATGCCCTCCGTGGTGACCTGACCAGGGACCTTTGTGTTGAGAAGGTCGGCGGCGGCGACCTTGACGTCCTCTCTCCTCACGTGGTACTGTTGCAATATCAGTACATGCGTCATAGGGAACCGCACCAAACACACTGACTTGGTTCGGACCAAGCATATGCTTGTTGAAGATTTCCATCGCGATCTCGTTGATGAGGGGATGCGCGATCCAAGTGCCGTCGTGGCCGTTGGTGACCTCACGGAGCTTGTCTGCGCGGACCTTGCTCATAGCAACCTCGTTCGCCTTCGGGTCGTTCTTGATCGGAATTTGCGCGGACATGCCACCCATGGCAGCGACCCTCCGCCTGTACATGCAAAGGTCAGTATATGCACCACTTTTCTGACGTACGAAGCTCACCTGTGACAGGTCTGAATGAGGAGTCGGACGTAAGCGTCCATGAAGCCAACCTCCATCGTGACGTCCTTGCGATCAGGCAGAACCGCGCTGCGATCGGCGCGACGCCGCTTGATAAAGCTGAAGATGTAATCCCAACTGCAAACGGGGACGTAAGTCTACTACCTTCCCGTCACGCGTTCCGTAAATTACTTACCGACCGCAGTTCAAGCCAGCCGAGTGTGTCCGGAGCTCGAACAGAATCTCCTCCATCTGGAACGCAGCGGGGAGGGTCTCGATGAGCACCGTCGCACGGATGGTGCCATGGGGTAGGCGTATATACGACTGCGAGAAATTGAAGACGTCGTTCCAGAGGCGCGCCTCGAGATAGTGCTCCATCTTCGGCAGGTAGAAGTACGGCCCGAGCCCACGCTTGACGAGCTCGTGCGCGTTATGGAAGAAGTAGAGCGCGAAGTCGAAGAGGGACCCGGACACGGGCGCGTTGTCGACTGTCACGCGCGGCTCGTCTAGGTGCCAGCCACGGGGTCTGCGCGAGAGGCGTACGGTGTTAGGCGAGACGTCATATGTGCGCATTCCGTTGGAGTGCTTACCGGACGATCAGGACGGCAGGCTTCTCAGAGAGCTTATACGACTTTCCGCCGGACTCGAAGTCGATCTGTCGGCGGATCGCGTCGCGGAGGTTGACCTGGCCGTTGAGCATGTTGGCGAACGTAGGCGAGTTCGCGTCTTCGCCGACCGTCAGTTGACATCCTCATCAAGCTCAGAATGGTCGAGACACGGACCTTCGAAGTCAGCCATGAACGTCTTCGCGCCGCTGTTGAGCGCATTGATGACCATCTTCCGGTCGGTGGGCCCAGTGATCTCAACACGCCTATCCTCCAAGCCGGGGCCGGGAGGGGCGCAAAGCCAGGAGGGGTCCGCACGGATGTGGGCGGTCTCGGAAGGGAAGTCGAGGGGCTGGCCGGCATCGAGTCTCTGCTGCGCGGCCTCGCGGGCAACGAGGAGGCTCTGGCGGGTGGACTCAAACGTCCTATGGAGGGCGGCGATGAACTTCAAGGCGTCCTCGGTGAGAATCTGCGCCTGTGCGTCCTTGGCCTGCGACGAGTGAATCTGCACGCCGGCAACCATGATTGTGTATGCGAGTAGTGGGAAGATAGGGATGGGGAATGTACGGGGCCGGAATGGCTTAGAGGCTGGCGTATAAGTAGCGTGCGCTGTGGCGGCTCTCCGCAACACCGAATGCGACTCTCGCGACCCATGGACGTCATCCCCCGCGTCCGCTCATTTCACGTGCGTTCCTTCTCTGCGAGTTGCGGTGAGCGGACCCCGGAACCCCTCCTCCGTCCTCTCTCCCGAGCGCCGGGGCGTCAACGCGCCTGGGGAGCCCCGCGAGCCCGTGGCCAACTCCTCGCGGTTACATCCTACTACTTACCGCGACATTGGAAATCTGGGACCGGGACTCCATTCCGGATATTCGCCGTACATCACTCGGCCGAGTGTCTATCTCGTGAATTGTGGCCCTGCCGCGGACCTACGTACGTTATGACCGTCTTCATCTTCCCTGTTCAAGCAAGGACTCCGGCAGCACTTGCAAGATGCGTGGGTGCCTCCGGCTTTGGGCAACGGTAATCGTCGATAAGGTGTACATACACAGCGTCGTACAGAGCGCGTCCCAGAAATATCCGCCCCCTTCAGATCGCCTTCTTCCCGGCGTCCTCTTGGCCTTTCCTTTGCTGTTCCGACGGAACGGGTCCCGCAGTCCCTATCGCGCACGAACCCGAGGACGCGAGGTATTCGAGCGAGCGAGGCCGGTCCAGCGAAGCATGCAAACGGTTCGAGATCAGCCTCTGCTCCTTCCAATCCTGTTCCGTCGGGCTGCGCGGGACACACGCTGGCTGCCCGTCCGTCCGTCCGTCCGTCTCCGTCTCCCCGTCCACCATTCCGGCTAGCAGAGACCAATGATCTGTTCTCCCGCAAATCCGAACAGCGTCGAATGTGACGGATCGGGGCCATGCATGCTACGTCACACAGCTCGCGGAGCGGCGCACGGAGGAGACACCGGACGATGGACGCGGACGCAGCCGTATGTCCGGGAAGCCAATTCTGAGAAACAGCACTCACCCTCGCTCGGACTAGGACTTGCCAAGTCTCTCACGACGCGCTCCCCGACCTTGATAACGCGCCTGCACGCCATCTGCCATACACCACACGAGACGGAGCCCGCGGGCGCGAAGGGCAGTGCGAGCCACCACGTCAGGGGGCCGAACCAGCCCGGGGGCAGGTAGAAGACGGCGGCCTTGCGGAACCACCAGCCGATAACGATCTGGAGGCCGGTCGTCATTATCCACAGAGCTGAGTTGAACTTGAGGGAGAAGGATGTCCGGGCGGACGAGAGCTCGCCATCTAGAATGGGTACAACCTGTTCAGCTGCCGCCGCAGGGTGGCCGGGCGGGTCAAGCCCATGAGGCAGGATGTTGCGCAGGCATGGGAGACACGAGTGAAGCAGCTGGGCACTCACTGAGCTTTTCGAGGTCCGCTAGGCCCTTGTCCACGCTCCTCCTCAGCTTCGCCCACTTGGCGAACTGGTCCTGCGCGCTCGTCTGCAGGAGCTCCTTCTTGCTCAACAGTATGTCGGCCTTAAGCTTCTTTTGTTGCGCGGCCGTCGAGCTGTAGAATATGCGCAAGTATATCGCATAGAACTGTACTCCGTGGTTCGCCGCAGCGAGTTCATATGATGACGCATGGCAGAGTTCAACAGCGGAGAAGCGCATGGTAAAATAGGGAAACGGTTAGGATACGGAGCTATATTTCTCAATCAGAGCAGTGATCCACATACAAATTCAAGGAAGACGCTTTGTCCTATCCAAGATATTAGCTCGGTGACGAACACGAGCGCGAAGAGGGTGGCTAAGAGGGCCATGGTGTCCAAGACTATGCAATCGTGATATTCGTGAAGCCGAAGAGTATTACAGCGCACAAGGGGTCAGACGAGGGACCCGATGGCCAGCAGTGGATACGTGTACAAGCAGGATGTGGCTGCAATCGGGTCACGCGTGGCGTGTCGTAGGTCGAGTTTATCCACGTGGACGAGCAATATTTGTCCTTGTTAGGATCAGAGGCCATCGTCTTCATTACAGCGATGTGCAGAATGATACGGAAAACGCATTTTTTGTGAGCCAGCGCCTGTTGGGCGCTCGGAGACCCAAACGCTGTGCCGGGCTGTCGGACACCAGGAAAGAGCCGGACACCGAGCGCTATCCTGGTCACAGTAGCCCTTCAGGATGGTCCCCCAAGGCTCATAATAGCAGATAGAGGAGCATATCAAAAATTATTATAACATATAAGGCATAATCTATGTCTCATGAAGCAATAACTAACTTGCCCAATGAAGAGAACTCGCATTTGTGCTTCAGGGCCAAGTGTCACACCTCTGTCACAATGAGTAACAAAGTCACAGCGGTCAGTGTTTGAGTCCCGTGACCGTCTGGCGTCTCTCTGAGCGCCGGTCTCGCGCGAAATGCGTTTTCCGTATCATTCTGCACATCGCTGTAATTGATGGGGATGGCCAGCAATGTATGAGCACGCATAGTTTGAAGAGGAATACAACCCTCACGATTTATGTAGAGATTGAAACAGGGTATCAAAGTCACAGGGAAGTATCGCAGGATCTGCATACACTGCCGTACTTCGGCCATACTTGCGCCATTTCAGTTCCGGAGCATTTGCAGTGGAGCGTCATCTGCACGGTGATACTTACTTCAAGACATATGTTGTTTTCGATGATATGCGAAGCTCATCTGCCGGCAGGCCCCATGATGCTCGAATCTGGCAAGTAGGAGACCCCAAACCAAGAATCGCCGTGGAAACTGACGACAAGTTGAATCGAGCGGAGAAAGAGATATCATAGCGCATGCAAATGGTTTAGCGGATATGCCATGGGCCAGTAACAGAGCAATACATGTGAGTATGAGTGCGTGGTGATGCGGATGCAAAGTCTCGATGGTGAGCGCGAGGCCTGGTCTGCTTTCCGACCGCCCTCCCGGGCGTCATCCTCTGAGCCCCTAATACAGCTACAACAGCAGCATGACTGATAAGCAGGGCGAGGCGGGGAGTGGGCAGCTTAGATGTTGAGCTTGGTGCGCCTCCAGTGGCGGCGCTTGGCGTTATACTGTGCGAGTGCGGAAGGCTCATTTCAGGGGGATTGGACAATGGTGGCAAAACGAGGCAGACGCACCTGAATTTTGGTGTCCGACTTCAGGCGGAACCACTGGGGGATGGGGCTACCACACAAATCTCAGGAAAATTGTCCCTTGACCTCCCTACATGTTGAATCCTACTCACCGGTTCTGGCGTCCGGCCTTAGCGAGAATGCGCTTCGTGCGGAAGGTCTTTTGGGAAGGCTAAACACGCAAGACAAGCATGCTCAGCAACGAGTTCTCTCCTGCAGTCGGGAACCTGGCACATATGAAGGATGAAGGGGCATACCATCGTTACTCGTGTCGAACGCTGGGCGGCGGCGGTTGGTGGAAAAGGGAGGAAAATTAAGGTTAAGGACGGAGGGGTCTGTACAGTTCTGACTAAGCTCCGGAAGAAGAATTTGCCACTTGCGCTCTCCCACGTGTCCCAATTAGAACGCGACGTCACACGTGTCGTTCCCGCGTCGCGACGCGTCTCAGCCCAGCCTCAGCTTTCTCATATACCTGCATCTCCCCTTTGCTGTTTTCTGTGCTTATATCTTGTGTTTTACGACGATGATTTTGACGCGGATCTTGGGCTGTGTCTCGATGCTCATGCTCGCTCTCGCTGCTGTGGCAGAGGAGGCGGCGCCTGCCGAGCTCCAGATCGACCGCACTTACGTTCCGGACAATTGCAAGGTCACAGCACAGAATGGCGACAGGCTGCAGGTGCATTACGTGGGTGCATTCTTCATCGGTACAGCCCTTACAGCTTGCTAATATGTCACCGTAGACTGGAAAGCTGTGGACGAACGGTAACAAATTCGACTCGAGGTACTGATTGCTCTAGGAGAGAGGCCTTGCTTGAGCTCACGTTTACTTTCTATACAGCTTGGACCGCGGCCAGCCTCTGCCTGTTACTCGTGAGTGCTGATGTATACTCCAAGTGCTATTGACCTGAACTCGACCTCAGTCGGTGCCCGCCAAGTCATTACCGGCTGGGAAGAGGGTCTCCAGGGTATGTGCCAGGGTGAGAAGCGTACCCTCACCATTCCTTCCACCAAGGCCTATGGTATGTCAAAGCTTCACAAGGACCAAAGACCTGGGATAGATAATGAATCGGCATCCTCACAGGTTCACGTGGATTCGGCAATGTCATTCCTCCCAACTCGGCGCTCGTCTTTGACGTCGAGCTCGTTAAGCTCGACGCTCAGAGCCCTCGCGAGGAGCTCTAAGCATGTACCCATACTCACACTCGTACCTTGAATACGCATAATGTACGCGATACAGCGAACTGTATTCTCATATGGACGTGTGCACCTCTGTCCGAAGCCTGAATCCGGTAGCAGCAACTTGCCCATTTCGCGACATATGCGCCTTCAACGCTTGTTGCCTCTGTCCCGAAGGTTTTTGTGCAGATTCGTCGCGCCCCACCGGACCTATCCGCTAACGTTATCGTCTTCTACCGCAGTCGATACGTAAGTTCCTTCGCTATGTCGACAATAGCACTTTACGGCTGATCTGTTCTCATGAGGCGAGGATTTGCGGACTTTGGAACAGGCTCCAGGCACGCAGAATATCTGATAATCCCATTCCCGGCTATTCAGTCTTCGATCTGCTATTGCGACTCGAACAAGGCAACAGCGATTCGGACCAAGTTGGGTTTTGTAAGGTAAACAAATTCGATCGAAGGGACCACAGAGGTGCTACTGTCCCAATTCTTCTGGGGGAAGAAACTCGCGCCACCGACGAACTAACGTTGTCCCGTTATTCGCTCCAGATGAAAGTGTCTGGCCATCAGGAGAGAAAGCTACGTGCCTCACGCGATCCTGATGCTCCACGAACGTCACAAGGCACGACCCGTCCCTTGTCCTCCACAACCGCACCGTCCCGTCGTACGAGGCCGATGCGATATACTTCCCACACGGAGAGACGCATGCTGCATAGACGTGACCAGTGTGTCCCAGAAGCGACATGATCGAGAGGCCGCTCCGTACGTCCCATATCTCCACCGTCTCATCGTATGACCCAGACAACGCCAGCTTCCCATCCGGTGAGAAACTAATATCAGATACTCTTTTCGTACGTTGCTGCAATACGACGAGGGGTTCTCCTGTCTCGATGTCCCAGATTCCGGCCTTGTAGCCATCAGACGCCGCGGCGAGGCGAGTGCTCCCTGGATCGAAGGTCGCAGTCCGAAATGAATTCGACCCTTTGAGGACCTTGTGGAGCTTGCCTGCCGCAACGTCCCACATACAGCAATCGACCTGACATCCCCCGGAGGCGAGCCAACGGCCGTCGGCGGAGAAGTGGACAAACAAACTGTACGGGTTGTTGTGCTCGTAGCCCAGGACATGGATCAAGCAGAACGTGCGAGCGTCCCAGAGGCGTACTCTTCCATCAGAACCTCCGGAGGCAATCACAGTACCGTCCGGGGACCATGCACAGCAACTTGCCTCGACTGGCCCTTCGAGTGTTGCGATTCGACGTGTGCCTTGATTTGGCTCCCAAATCGCTAGCTGGTTCTGGCCGGCGGAGAGAGGTATCGGCCGCGAGGGGAGAACGTGAGTGACCTGATCACCCCCGCGTGTGCTACCCATTCTTCTATGCATCGCCCAGTCGTGTCCCAGAGGATGATGGTGTTGTCGTAAGACCCTGTCGCTACCCATCTGCTGTCTGGCGAATAGACGAGACACCCTATCATAGCGTCATGACCGATGGTGATATCTGAGTGAGTGGTAAGTCACCATTAGGTTAGCTGTCGGCGTGATGATTAGCTGACCTGGCTCTGACGTGATAGAGAACGAGTTACGCGCTCGCAGCGCAGGGAAATATTGAATGAGCTGACGGGTCCAAAAACGGGATCGGGAAGAGCGGATGGGCTTGTTGAGTAAGATGGAGATTTCTGCATGAGTGAAATGGAGAAGAGTTTGGTCAAGCGCCAGGCATAGACGGGAATTGTCTCCGATGTCGACCCATTGGATCAATTCCTTGACGGTGTCTGATTGCAAGTCTAGTAGGACATCCGTCAAGCTCGAAGGACGAAAAGCCTTCAAGATCTCGATGATCCCCTTGATTCATGTCCAGGAGTGTTATCTGGGGGCTCAGGGAATCAGCGAAGATTGCCCTTCGACATGCTCCAATGATCACACACCCACCTGATTGCGATATGACTGAGAGCTTGCCACGCTCTCGCAATATGGGCAAACGGATTCCCAACTCATGGCACCAGAAACCGATCCGGTAGGAGCGAATGGGATTCTTGATGGAGAACGTCATTTCCGGACGGGAAAACTGGAGGAGAGCTTGCTCAATCTGGTGGCATTGACGAGATTGGCGTCCTTCACCACCCATCCACTGGATCAACTTTCCGATAGCGTCCAGTTGCATGTTCAAAATAACGTGTTTTAGATTGGGGGGATGGAATCCATTCAATATCTCGATAATCCCTGCGACGTCTTTGAATTTGAGTTTGGTCTTCAGCGTCAGGAAACGAAGCTGAGTCCAGGTTGAGATAGTTGGTTGGGTGCTGATGAGTAGATGTGCTACTGAAATGGGAACAGTAAGTACTCTGATGTTCTGCTTAGTCTTGGGTAAGGCTACAAACCATACGATTCTTTCTCCGAGTAGGGGACTCCCAGGGAGAGCCTCTCCAGTGAAGACTGGACTGATTCCAGTAGCAAGGCTACCTCCCTAGTGTCGCCTAGCAAAAGCTACGAGGGTAGAGTTGGCGGCATGAGAGCGTAAAGCTGCGTAGCGTCTGTGAGTCGTCGCAATGGCTGACGATCCTTTCAATCACCTCCCAGGGGAGCATGGGAGAATTCATATTAGCCAGCCAGTTCAGCATGAGGATGGACGAAATGGACGAAAAGAACTTGCAGCATTGAGTACGCTGCGGCAACGTATGGCACTGCAACATAGCGATGGACACCGCCTCAAACCAAGCTGCAGATCTACAGTCTTACCCGGGTCCTTTGGCCACCATGGGTCCTTTGGCCACTGAAGGATTTTCTGTCCCCACAGTAGAATCTCAACCTACATGTTAACCCAGTCAAGTAGATAATGGTTTTATGTATGTTATCCCAAAGTTCCGTAGCCTTTGCTGTTCAAACACATTACAAGACTATGTTTTAGTCCAAAAAACTGCTGTTTTGAATTATATTCCAGTGATCGCGGCTGATGTATTGCTCCGATAACTTCCATAGTTTCAGTAAATGTGAATAGGATATATCTAGCTTGTTTGAGACAAAGAACACTCTTATCGACATGCACTTCCCAGAGATATCAAATAAGTTCTCATCAACGGGACATATGAGATGCTATTAATCAGGCGCCGAGTCACACAACTCAGCGCTCCTCTGCTTTGCGTGCATCGAATGAAGGGCGGCGCTCGGGCGGCATTGCCTGATAAGA